GGAGTGGCTGATAAATCGAAACAATCCGTCCGTCGCACATCACCTGATCCCCACTTCACTGTCTGGACCTTAACTACAGTGGGTGACCACGAACGAGAGTAGGTGAAGGACTTCGTCGATGCGAAAAGCGGGTGGCAGGGAAATGGGCAGATTCAAAGATGAGAACAACTAGAATGGAATGACCTCTCCGATGGTTCAAATTGCTGGGTGAATTGTGGCACGGCTATGCACGCTGACCGCGGCTGACTGTTGGTAATACATGAGGATGTAGTCGGTATTCTCCCCAAGCACTTGCACAGATGGGGTTGGAGCGTTAGGCGCAAGGAACTGGGTATACTTTTGGAGGAAAAGCCGTTCGAACCTTGTGACATCTTGGTTGTGTCTGTCTGTCTGTCTGGTTTTCAGACTCTTATCTCGTTTAAGAAGGTGCGTAGGTTGCCAATCACGCAGACAATTCGCGGTAATCAAAGACCGCAGGAATTTCCACTGCCAATGGGAAGATGCGGCACAAAAGGGAGTCACTTGGCCGATCCTCAGTAATGTCATCAGTAATCGGTGACGACTTCAACTGGCAGTGGCATATTGTTTCCTCTCTTATGATCTGCCGTAATGCAAAGGGAGATTTCAGTGCGCGCATCCAAGACGCAAAATCACTGAAAAATACGACGGCGAAGAACAGGAATTTCCCGTAGGAACCGTACTAATCCATTTGGTGCGAGCGTCAACCACCACCAAAATCATCTGAAAACCCTTTCATGGCGAGTCAGGCCTGACCCAAGGCTTCAGGGACGCCTTTGGTAATGTCTTCTGTGTTATTTGGCACACACTACAAGTTTTTGTCATGGTTTCGATATTTGCATCAAATTCAGACTACGAAACATAGCTGCGGACCAGAGCTCTCATTCCAAATGTGCCCGACTGAGTATTATGCAAGTCTTTGAGGATGGCCTGTCTACCCTGCGGTTACACAAGTACACGATTAGCCCAAAAAAATGCGCCCATCTTCATCACTCAATTCTCTCTGATGGCTGTAAAGCGGCTTGAAACTGAGGCAGCAGGCAGAGCAGGCTCGGCAAAATGACGATGATCCTTTTACTCGAGTTAAATGAGGGTTTATCGATCTCCACTAATTCCTGGTAGGTTGACTACGTTCTGCAAAAGATTCACGGCCTCCAAAGCAGGTGTTCCACTAGTGGCTCCGTCTACAACGGAGAGCCTATTCAATTCTTCAGCCAATACGCTTGCACTACCCGTGACGTATTTCATTGTATATGTGTAAGTGGAAACATCGAATGCCCATGTCTGCATTCTCAACGAAGACTTCTGTTGTATCCCTCGGTCTTTCTCCATCAAACCTAAGAGGGGTTTGTGATCGACGTGAATCTTAAATTGTCGGCCAATGAGAGACAACTTGAAGCTTTGTGTACCAAACATCATTACTAAGTTCTCTTTATTTACATGAGATTAAAGTAGACTCTTGCTATATCGCGCTTCGACGTTTGCGGCGTCCCTCCATCGCAGGTTTTATATGCAGACACATCTAAATATGTATCACGGATTCCTCGCTGGTTCATGGAGTTCAGCGGATAAACGGACGCTTTTATTTCTGGCACATGCTTCCTCAGTTGGTTTGGTCAGTTGCTTTCAAATAATCTCGCCCAATATCTAACGTAATATCAACGGTTTATGCCGTGCAATTGTGCGCGAAATGTTTGCATTGACATGCACGGGTGCTTAGATTTAGTGCTCTAAGAACCCAACATGTAAAAAAGTTGGGACAACCCTCCGTAGCAAGTTATCGTCACGCTGCATTCTTCCGGCTACTTTGTTCTTCCTAAGCTCTGAAATAAATCGAGAAAAGCGATTACTCACATCGAAATAATCCTAGTTGGTGGCGTCTCAGGAGCCTGTATTTTGGTCGACTTACTGTAAGCGTGTTTCAGGTCCAAAATTGTAAATTTTTGACCAACGGAGAGGGACGCAAACAGATCCTCAATGCGCAGAATTTATCATCAGCTTGTAGTTGTCGCAGACACGCACGGAACCGCTGGATTTAAGGACGGCGACTATTGGACCTGTCCATGGCCAGTATTGCAGGGGCTCAATAATGTCCTCTTTTTGTAGAAGATCCAGTTCTTCTTCAACCTTCTATGCAACTGAATATGGGACTGAAGGAGCATTGAAGAACCGGAGTTGAAAACCTGACTTAAAGTGGAATTTCACAGGTGGACAGCAGTAGTGAAAACTGGAATCATCACGAAACAGTCCTTTGTGATTTGCCAACATGAAATATAGAACGGGGTTAAAACCAATCCGATTTGAATTAAATGGCACAGAAGGCACGCAGTTGAATCAGCTGCGTCGAGCAGATTTATGCGTAGGCCACACCTGACTATATGGAATGATAGGTGTTGGAGCTCTCCATCATGTCCAACCTCGGCAGCAATGACTCCCGAACTTCTACGCTCTGACCTGTGTAGATACGAAAAGTTGAGTGAACCGGGAGGCGACCAGGAAATTTCGGAAGAGAGACCTCGTTGCTGGAAGTAGCAGCTGACCCTAGGTCAACTACATTATTCTGATAACAGGACAAACCCGAGAAAAATTGGCGTAGGCGCGGGCGGAGTGGCTGATAAATCGAAATTCTACACTCTGGCCTGTGAAGATACGAAAAGCTGAGTGAACCGGGAGGTGACGAGGAAATTTCGGAAGAGAGACCTCGTTGCTGGAAGTAGCAGCTGGTCCTGTGTCTAGGTCGAAGTTCAGGAAATGCCGATCAATCCGAAGCCTATTG